GGTGAGAATTCCTTCCTCCGAAACTTTGGGTCTCCAATATCCTGTAGTCTTCGCCTGGCCCCTGACACGCAAAACAGAGTTTGATAGACAAGGGTATCTCAAGCGGGGTAAAAGGAAGTGAAGAGGTCTGATAATGGTATGTCTCCAGCATTGCTGGATTGGAGTTCAGGCCAGAAGGACCCTCTGGAGTGCCTCTGTGCACACTGTAGAGAAGATTCTTGTGGTTCTGAGTCAACCTGTGACATTAACAATGCATTAGATTTAGATGATCCCAGGGAGGATGGTTCAGTTTTGAGGCTAATCAAGAGATTTGGTCCAGAATTTCCCAAACTTCTGAGGACCCTCCTAAATATCTTCTAAATAAGAAAAATCAGAAACTCAGAACAAACTCACAGTTGTACTTCAATCCAAAATTTCATCTTGGGTTTGAAACCAGATGAATCTCTGATCATGGAGAGAACAAGATGACATTTATCTCAGTGGGATCACCATGCTACAGAATTGCCCTATTGTTCGATCTGCATTTTCCAAAATTATATAATTCCCACAGGGCACCACTCAGATAGAAATATGCCAGTGCCCAATTCTTGTGATTAAATCCTGTATTGGGAAAGATGAAAAACTCAAAGAAACAGACATAAATTTTATACACACGTTAAGAAAGGTTGTCATGGCAACTTTGCTTGAAGATATGTATTTTTAAATCTAAGTAAATTTAACATTCGAAACACATTTGCATCTGCCTCAAAGGTTCTCTATCAAGAATTTTTTTTAATTTTCCAATTGCTTCTGAATCTATTTCTCCTTGAAAGCTTAACAAAATCCTATGACTATAATGGCAGCATAGACTTAAGCACACATTTTCAGAAGGCTATGAGAAAAATCCAAAGAGAAAGCCCAATAATGTTAGTCTACTAGGCCCAGGAGCCCTAGGCTGCTCCCTCTACATTTTTAAATTGTGAGCAGGCCATGCCATATAATCTCTACATGGTCCTTTTAAGCTCTAAAAATCAATTATCTATTAGCTAATGACCTTGCAACACAAGCAACAAATCATGAAAGTTGAACACACCTAGTGCTGAGGTATAATTAAACCACAATTCATACAAATGACTGTAATAAATATTGCTCTTTAACCAGGTCCCACTAATTCTTAGCTTTGTTCCTCACTCTGAAAGTTCTCCAGTATTCCTACTCAGCATCAGTGTTGACAGTTTTCCTTGATAAGATACCTAGTTTAATTCTCTCGCTCACCCACTAAAAATAACAAAAATAATGGTTTAACTCCCAACAGTTCCTTGTGCTTCTTCCCCCACTACAGACTACAGCTGAAGCCTTCTGTGTTCTTTGTCACGTAGTCATCTACAAGAGCCTTCCTATGTTCCTTTCAGCCACTAACCTAATAGGTCCTTGATCTGCTTCCAAACCCAGGACCTCGAGAGCTCTAAGTGCTAGAAGGTTCAGCTTTGGGACATAAGACTTTGGGGTTCTCCCTCCTGGGGTGAAGCACAGAAGGGAGAGAACACAGTAACGATGTCATGTCTGTTTCACTGCTGGACCCCCAATGCCTAGCCTAAGATCTGGTACACATTAAGTGCTCAGTAAAAAACTGTTGCCTGACTAAATAGGTCCCATTTCTTTGGATAGGAATGCAAGTGAGGGAGAGGTATAGGAGACAGTCAGTAGAGCAAGAGGGCTGTGCTCTGACAGAGGAAGAGAGGTAAGGGAGTGAGAGAATATGAACTCAGGTGGTTTGGTTCTAAGGCTATGGTCATTCCTAGTCTGGAGAATCTCTGGACCATGCATAGTTTGAGGAACTAGCTAAGACAGATGTTCCCTGAGACTCCTATTTGTCTCTAGATCATGTCAGAGAAAGTGGGCTCTGTTCTATAGAACCATACTTCCATGAATCACTGGTTTTACAGGATAATAGGTGTAACTAGAAAAACGGGTACCTTCATCAAATATATTTGGAACATTCAGTGTTAAATCAAGTTAAAATAGGTTTCCATAAATTAGAACTTCTCAACACTTCCAATATATTAATATGTAAGTATCTGAGAAAGAATATAGTACGGAGAATCTGAGAATGAACATGATCAAGGAACCTTTTTCTCATAGTATCTCACAGGCTAGTGCTCCATGAGACACACTTGGGAAATGATGCTCTCACTAACCTAACAAAAAACTGTGATTCTTAAACATTTAAGGTTTAATGATTATCTAGTGATAAGATATAGAAGGAACAAAGGACTACTTGCTTACCAACTATTTTGGTTGATATTTTGTATAACTGCAGCCTATTATAAATCTATGTTCACACCTAAGAGAGGCATCTCTGAAAAATGTCCACACCTCTTAAATACTTTCAGTAATGGGGTACTTAGCATATCACAAAGTACTATTAGCATTAGAAGCAGTTTGGCTATCTGGAAATGTTTTTCAACTATTAAGTGTCTTCAAGAGTTTACTTTATTCTGCATACACAGAAAACTTCAATGAAGATTTCATTTATTTCTTCAAAAATATTGATTGATTGCCTTTTTGGAGACAGGCACTTTACAACTTTATCTATGATATAGTTACAATAGTGAAGTAACAGTTTCACTCTCTACCATCGTGTCTTAATTAAAACAAGAACTGGCAAGTATTTTAGATATAAATAAATACGTTTGTTTAAATTACCAAACAGGGAATTTCTGACTTATTTGCTCATGGCATTTTATCCATGCTATAACAGGATCCAGTCCCAATCTGTAGAAAGACAGCCACCAAATTGCAAACCAATTAAAAGGGGCGTGGCACTGGAAGAAGGAGTGTCATTTCCTGTCTTTTCTTTATTGCCTGGATGTTTTACAAAATGGCTCCCAGTTCAAATTTTACAATTATCCATTCACTCAGTGTCATAAAATTCTGAAAATCAAACACTAAATGGGTTTCTACTTAAAAGTCTTTCCCCCCCAAAAAAGTCTATTCCCTGAAGCCCTTACAAAAATGAAGTAACAAAGGAAAATGTTTAAAATTCTTTAAGAGAAAAGTAGACCATATGGTTATGATTGCAACTGGTAAAAAATATAAAAATACACGTATGTGTTGGGCCAGCCCAGTGGTGTAGTGGTTAAGTTCGTGTGCTCTGCTTCAGCAGCCCAGGGTTCAAGGGTTCAGATCCTGGGTGCGGACCTACACACCACTCATCAAGCCATGCTGTGGCGGTGTCCCACATCCAAAATAGAGGAAGACTGGCACAGATGTTAGCTCAGGGCCAATCTTCCTCAAGTGAAAAGAGGAAGACTGGCAACAGATGTTAGCTCAGGGCCAATCTTCCTGACCAAAAAAAATATATGTGTGTGTGTGTGTAAACAGAAAAAATTTACACAGTTGTACAAATGTGGTGAGTTGGCAATATTAGTTTTCTTTTTTAAGATGTTTTTAATACCACTGTTACATTACTCTTTTAAGTATTTTCTTTAGCTATTATGCAGTACCTCATTTGAAATTATTGCTTGATTCCCTCTTAAATAGAACAAAATACGCCAATAAATCCCACTGAAGAGTCTACGATAATCTGAAGTTTAGATCTTTTACTTACTGTTTCTTAGCCAGTATTTGCCTATCTTCATTTACAGTATTTCTTCTAGCAGGAATGAAAAACTATTTTAGTTTGTCACTGGACCTACTGTTAATGCTGTAACGACTGAATGAGATAGGTCCGTACAGTATTTGGTTTCTAACAAAGCCCCAGGCCCGTGTCCTGCTTTCAGCTAACGGCTACTGGCAGCTCCGTCTCCCCCTTTATCAGCGCAGGGCCCTGGCGAGGGCTCGAGGCCACACTGTGCTGCCTGCTCTGGCTGCGCTGGTTCCTCCGACTTCTGTAGTAACAGTAACTGCTTTGTTGTCATACCCCCCCAACTCCTCCCCTTCTACCTTAATCACTGGTCTTAGTAACTTAGGAAACAGGCATAGGACTGGCTAAGAAGAAAAATAAGGTCACTAGTATCAATTTGCTGACATTATTAAATCTGCCCTTGAAAACAGTGTCCATTTCTCTCACAGCTACTAAACTACTCCTTGATGTCACTGTGTGTCCTCAGTTTTACACGCTCAGTAGAATTCTGTTTGATTAAGCAGTTTTCAACATGTCAACATAACCACACGTGAAAAAAGCAGACTTTATAGGTTAACAGTGCTTTATATGGGTCTGGAGAGAAACAAAGATGTCTGCAGGGATGAATCTTCATCTGTTTTCTCCAGAGTCCAAACATAACAACAAAGATGCTTAAGATCTCCTCCTAAAAGTTGAAACCCCATCCCAACTTGAACTTAACTATACCAAAGATTCTTCTTAGGATAGAGAAGTAACTTCATTTCTTAAATGCTGACTTTAACACCCAGATTGTTCTATGACTTTAGCAACTTAGATGCTAAATATACACCAAATACATAACTGTTTTGATAAAATGAATGGAGAAGTGAGGTCATTTTTAAAGTTGAAAAGAATAACAGGAATATATGAGAAGGGAAAGAGAGAAAAAGTAAGAATGACAAAAATCTGTGCTTACATTCTGAGTAAGAAAAGTACTAAATTTCCAGTTGTAGAAAACACTATTGGTTCCTAATATATTAAATGAAGAAAACATTATGTATAATACATCTGTAAAAATTATATGTGGATAAAAAAAGAGAGTAGAAGGCTCTACCTCAGGAGCTTAACATCAGCTAATTTCAAGTAGTGGGACTAAAGGGGACTGAGTTTGCCATTTTTGTGTTTCCGTATTTCCTAGATTTTTCAACAATAAGCCTATATAATTTTCATAATAAAAATAGGACATTTTGTTTTTAAGGTGCAAACTGTTTTAAGATAAAGAAAACAAATAAATAAATTTTGACACAGAGTCTATAAAACAAAGAGAATCTATTTATATAAAGAAATGGCACTGCACATTTGTGGGCCAGATGAACAGCATGTGAGCTCTTCATTTTTCCCAAACACACGCACAGAATTAACTTGCCTTCAATTTTATTAGCACGAAGTGTGGAAGAGCCTTTTCATTCCATAAAAAATGTGTTGTGCTGATGTTTTTAACAATAAACTTCTGAGCTATCAAAAAGAATGCAGATCAAAACCAGTGAAGAAAGTTTTAAGAAAACCAAAAAGCTGTAAAACTCCTGCTCGAGTCCTGCTTCGAACCGTCAGTGACACTGAGGCTACTAAACTTCCAGTTGCTGGACTGACAAAGGGGCACTAAGAACAACAGGGAACGAACGGATAACTTAGTTTACACATGATAACAGTACTTTTGTTTTTTAAAAATTCTCTAGAAGATGATTTATTTTTAATGTTTAAGTTGGTCATGTAACTATGGATAAAACGTTCTTATTTAGCTGATTCTTCCATCCCGTTTTCCTTGATTCCAATCATTACTGACAATTATACACTGCCTCATTTATTGGCAATATGCCCCCTCCCCCACTCTGCCTCAGCTGCTGTTTCTCCTTGGTCATTGCTGATCAGGGCTCACTTGCTTTAAAATCCCACTTATCTCATCTGATTTTACTGACACTTGGTTTACACATCAATTGCTCACTCTAACCTTCCACTGCCAGTTTCCAATTAAGGTACCTGGATAACAAAGGAAGATGCTCTATAAACACAAACCATAAAAAATGACAGGTGAGAGGGGATACATTTAACAATGTGCCTTTTTAGAAACAACAACAAGATGCTAGGAACTAAAGAATACATTTCACTTAAAGTTTAAGGACTTAAATTATTCCATAAATTAAACATTTTTGTCAGAAGTAAAGGCTGCATCTAATTATTTAAATTCTATGTTAACCACTCGCAACTAGGTCCAAAACGTCAGCTATCTGACCACAAACAGCATAAATTAACTCAATTAATAAGTAGGGTACATTCACAAAACTAAAATGACAGGTGAAATTCAGCAGTGCCAGAAATAAGCCCACTTGCAACAACATGCGCCATTCTCCTTCCTCTTCTCTGTAGCCGCACTTGGCACACTTCCTTCAAGTGTCTGTAAAACACAATTCTTCAACAAGAGCGTAACTGAAAAAGGTGGACTAAGCTACAATGCTATCAATAAAAAGAGTATTAAAATATAAACCTTATCAGTACTCAAGTGTAAATCTTGAAAGATATTTAAAATATTTTTGAAATAGCCCCAGTATTTCTTTGCTTACTAGCAAGAGTCACCTTTTTCTAAGTTTATTAGCTATTTTCTCCTGTAAAGGCTGTTTATTCATGTCTTTTGTCCATTTATCTACTGTATGTTTTTTTACCAATTTGCAGGAGTTCTTTAAATATAATATGGATATTATCCCTTTCTGTCATATATTTTGCAAATATTTTCACCCATCTTTGTTTTCTTTTTGTTTTTTTAATTTGGTTTTGGTTTTTGATTAGGGCGCTCTCATTTTTTTAATAAGTTCATTATGTTTAGTATATGACAATAATAAATAATAAATTTAGGAATTCTGTTTCCTCCACAAATGATCATTAGTAGAGTAATATAGTGCTGCTAAGATTTCCAGCAAACAGGACCGACAAGCCTCAATCTTAGTTTGTCACTTAGGAGGGGTACTTCAAAACACATTAAAAAACAACTGTATTATTTTCCAAATGATTCAGAGCTGTTCAAAATGATGAGTCTTGTATAAGCCATGAAATGAACACTATTGTCTGGAAAGGCATAAAAATAGCAAACACAAGGCAGGTTACCCAATAAAGTACTCAAATCTAATAACAATGACTAAACAAAGTAATTTACAGTGAGAAAAATTAAAATATTAATCCAAGAAACAAAATTATGGGAAGTCCTTTTGTTTCCCTTTAAGGTGATTTATTGGAAATAGGTAAAGGAGTTAGAACTATGTTTCTCTTTTATGAATATTCTGAAAACGTGATTCACCAAATTCTGCAAAATAACTTCTCTCTTCAAGAATATTAATTTTAGAAATCAAACTAAGCAAAAGAATACAAAGACAATGGCATAGAAAGTGATAAAACAAAAACTAAAAGTAGAAAGCGTCCCATTAAAATAATCACTATATTGATGTAATAAGTATAAATGTATATCACACATTAAGAAAATCTGATATACAAAAATCCAAATTTACATAATTAAGTACTAACAGGTGTTCATATTACACAATGATACTTGGTTTATAAAAGGAGTAAACACAGATTTTCTAAATGGTCATGTTCTTCAACAAAGCTAAGCACATAAGATTTTAACATCTCTTTGAGACAGTGATCCAAGCTTCTTCCTTGGAGGACGTTACCAGTTCATACTTAGTTTCAATAACTTGGCCCTCCACAGAAAGCAGGTGCAGTCTCCTCACCAATACACTCAGAAGTACTGTGGTCACCATATACGCACACCTAGTGAGGAAGAAAGTTGACTGGTTACTAAAGATTAGCAATTATACTTTAATTATATGGATGGCTCATTCTCATCAACAGTGATCATCAAAATTGTAAGTCCAAAGTCTGGCATCTTTCCTTTCACTTCACTTTCCCCATCATCTCACCTCAACTCCGGGCACTCCTGTGTGCCTGAGAATCCAAGCAAGGAGAAAGTTTTCATGACCGATTCATCATCAAACCGCTCTGGATCAAACCTAAAAAGAAGATTTGGGGCCAATCACAACAGAGCTCCACTGGCATTTTACATATTTCCACTATAGGAACACAGGCATATAATAAACTTTAAAAACTACTGACAACAGAAACTGCTGTCACATTATATTCGAATTTCACCTATTATTATGTTCCCAAATTACTGAACATATCGTCTCTTTCTGCTTATTTTATTATTTCTAAACAATTTATGCAAAATACATTTCTCTGGAATCAGCAAGGAATGAAACCATAACACAGTTTTACATCTTTTTGTGAGATATAAGGATAAATCATATAAAATCACATAATGAATACTTAAATTTAAGTGTTCAAAATATCTGTTACATGAGGTCATCTGACCAATGTGAGGCATTTTACATTGTCTCTTCAATTAAAATTTGTTTCTTAAAATTGAAGACACTAGACTCAAAATTATATTCATCAATTACATTACACCCAGACTTATTAACGAGCCAGGGTAACGAAGAGGCTAAGAAGGGTTTTTTATTGTGCAGAGTTCCACACTGTAAAAAGTCACTGTGGAAACGGATATTTTACACAAAACAACCCACTCACCACGGAGCATAAAAATTCCTCTCAAAAACAAATGTTTTTAAAAGATCGAAACTCTATCATGAAGGAAAAAAAAAAGGAAGAATTCTGCTTTCATTTTCTTTAAAAAAAGTGTAAACTACCTTTCAACTTTTGGAATATACTATATTTATATAAAGAGTCCATAGAAAAATGTTATCAAATGTAATCACCTTTTCCTTTCATAAACTATCTTGAAAATTGAGACTCTTGAAGATACCTTGTATTTTCACATTAAAAGAGAGTCAAAATTGATTTTTCCAATTTTTATAAAATACCTTACAATTTTAAGGGTTAAAAATAAAATAAAAACCAAAATAAAAGACAGATCATTTAATCTCAAATATTGAGGCATTTTTTTCTTTCTTTTTATTTTTCAGCTTTCTTTAAGTATAACTGACAAATAAAACTGTAACATATTTAAAATGTACAATATGATGATTTGATATACATACACCTTATGAAAGGATTTCCACCCTCAAGTTAACACATCCATCACATTACATAGTTACCATTTTTTTGGTGAGAACACTTAATTTCTACTCTCTCAGCAAATTTCTATTATACAATATAGTATTACCAACCATAGTCACCACGTTATACATTAGATCCTCAAACCTTATCCACCTTATAAGTGAAAGTTTGTACCCTTTTACAGCCCCGTTTCCCCCACCACCGACCCTCCCAGCACCTGACAATGACGATTCTACTCTGTTGCTGTGTTTGATTTTTTTTTTTTAATGTTACACATATAAATGATACCCTGCAACATTTGTCTTTCTCTGGCTGGCTCATTTCACTTAGCATAATGCCCTCCAGGTTCATCTGTGTTGTGCAAATGGCAGGATTTCCTTCTTTTTAGGGGATGAATAATATTCCAGCATGTATATATACATGTCTTCTTTATCCATTCATCTGCTGACAGACACTTAGGTTGTTTCCATACTTGTAAATAATACTGCAATAAACATGGGAGTACAGAAGTCTCTTTGAGACAATGATTTCGTTTCCTTTGGATATATATATACACTCAGAAGTGGCATTGATGGATCATACACTAGTTCTATTTCTAAGTTTTTGAGGAACCTCTATACTATTTTCCACAGTGGCTGTACCATTTACATTCACACCAACAGTGTATGAGGGTTCCCTTTTACCCACATCCTTACCAGCTCTTGTTATCTCTTTGTCTTTCTTGATAACAGACATCCTAACAGGTGTGAGGTGATCTCTCACTGCAGTTTTGAACTGCATTTCTCTGATCAGTGATGTTGAGCACCTTTTCATCTACCTGTTGGCCATTTGTCTATCTTCTTTGGAAAAATGTCCTTTGCTCATTTTTTAATTGGGTTATTTCTTTTTTGCTATATTGAGTTATCTGAGTTCCTTATATATTTTGGGTATTAACCTTGTATCAGGTTGGTGGTTTGCAAACATTTTCTCCCATTCCATAGGTTGCCTTTTCATTTTGCGGACAGTTTTCTTTGCTGCACAGAAGCTTTTTAGTTTGACGTAGTCCCACTTGTTTATTTTGACTCTTGTTGCCTTTGCTTTTGATGTCAAATCCAAAAAATCATTGCAAGACCTCTATGAAGGATCTTACCCCATAAGTTTTCTTCTAGGAGCTTTAGGGTTTCAGGTCTTACATTCACATCTTATTCCATTTTGAGTTGATTTTTGTTCATGGTATGTAAGATAGAGGTCCAGCTTCACTCTTTCCCATGTGAACAGCCAGTTTTCCGAGCACCATTTATGGAAGAGACTATCCTTCCCCATTGCATATTCTTGCCTCCTTTGTTGAAAATTAACTGACCACATATGCATGGATTTATCTCTCAGCTCTTCATTCTATGTGTCTATGTGTCTCTGATCTATTTGTGTGTTTCTATGCCAGTACCATACTGTTTTGATTATTCTAGCTTTGTAATATAGTTTGAAATCAGGAAGTGTGATGCTTCCACCTTTGTTCTTCTTTCTCAAGACTGCTTTGCTATTCTGCGTCTTTTGTGATTGCATATGGATTTAAGGATTATTTCTGTGAAAAGTGATATTGAGATCTTGATAAGGATTGTATTGAACCTGTAAATCGCTTTGGCTAGGAAGAACATTTTAACAATATTAACTCTTCTAATCCATGAACATAGATTATATTTCCATTTACATAAGTGACATTTAATATTTTCATCAATATTGTATAGTTTTCAGTGTAGAGATCTTTCACCTCCTTGGCTGTAGTTATTCCTAAGTATTTTATTCTTTTTGATGCTATTGTAAACAGGATGGTTGTGTTAATTTTTCTGATACTTTGTTGTTAGTGTATAGAAATGCAACTGATTTTTGTATTATTGATTCTGTATCATGCAACTTTACTGAATTCATTTATTAGTACCAACAGGTTTTGGTGGAATCTTTAGGGTTCTATATGTAATACATGTCATCTGCAAATAGAGACAATTTTACTTCTTCCTTTCTGATTTAGATGCCTTTTATTTCTTTTTCTTGCCTAACTGCTCTGGCTAAGACAGCCAATACTATGTTGAATGAGAGTGGTGAGACCGGATATCTGTCCTGTTCCTGATGCTAAAGGAAAAGCTTTCAGCATTTCACCATTGAGTATGATGTTAGCTGTATGCTTGTCATATATGGCCTTTATTATGCTGAGGCATGTTCCTTCTATATTTAGCATGAAAGGATGTTTAATTTTGTCAAACACTTTTTCTGCACTTACTGAGATGATCATAGGACTTTTATTCTTCCTTTTGTTGATGTGGTATATCACATTTATTGATTTGCATATGTTGAACCATCTAGGATTTATCCCAGGAGTAAATTCCACCAGATCCTGGTGTATGATCCTTTTAATGTACCATTGAATTTGGTTTGTCAATATTTTGTTGAGGATTTTTGCATCTATGTTCATTAGGGATATTGGCCTGTAGTTTTATTTTCTTGTAGTATCCTTGTCTGGCTTTAGTATAGGGTAATGCTGGCCTCATAAATGAGTTTGGAAATGTTCTCTCCTCTTCTATTTTTGGAAGTTTAAGAAGTTTAAGAAGGATTGGTATTAATTCTGCTGTAAATGTTTGGTAGAATTCACCAGGGAAGCTATCTGGTCTCGAATTTTCCTTTGTTGGGACGTTTCTGATTACTGATTTGATCTCCTTACTAGTAACTGGTCTGTTGAGATTTTCTATCTCTTCATGATTCAATCTTGGTAGGTTTTGTTTCTAGTAATTTATCCATTTCTAGGTTATATAATTTGTTGGCTAATAATTTTTCATAGTAATTTTTTATGATCCTTAGTATTTATATGTTATCAGTTATAATGTTTCTTTTTTCATTTTACAACTTTGAGCCTTCATTATTTTTTTTCTTAGTCTAGCTAAAGGTTTGTCAATTTTGCTTATCTTTTCAAAAAACCAGTTCTTAGTTTCACTGATCTATTCTACTGTCTTTCTAGTCTCTATTTCATTTATTTCCACTCTGATCTTTGTCATTGTCTTCCTTTTACTGACTTTTTGGCTCTGTTCTTCCTTTTCTAATTCATTGCTTTTGCAGTGCTTTTGCAAGAACTGCTTTTGCTACATCTTGTAAGTTTTGGTATGTTGTGCTCTCATTTTCACTTGTCTTGAGATATTTTTTGATTTCTCGTTTGATTTCTTCTTGGACCCACTGGTTCTTCACTAGCAAGTTGTTTAATCTCCCAATATCTGTGAATTTTCCAGTTTTCCTTTTTTGAAGAAGAAGAAGACTAGCCCTGAGCTAACTGCTGCCAATCCTCCTCTTTTCACTGAGGAAGACTGGCCCTGAGTTAACATCCATGCCCATCTTCCTCTACTTTATATGTGGGACGCCTGCCACAGCACAGCGTGCTAAGCAGTGCCATGTCCGCAGCCAGGATCCGAACCAGCGAACCCCAGGCTGCCGAAGCGGAACGTGCACACTTAACAACTGCACCACCGGGCCGGCCCCTCCAGTTTTCTTCTTGTAATTGACTTCCCATTTCATACTGGATTTTTTTTTTACTCAATAAAAAAAACAATTTTTTCCCCAAGATTTTTAAACATGTAATCAAAAAAAGAATTTGGCATTTTAAAAGTTAGGTTTACAAACTTGACACACTCTTAATAGTAGTAATTATCTATTTATACATTGTTTAAGAAAATAAGGTCTATGAAGACATCAACAAAATATTTAAGAGTTCATTATAAGCTACAGCACTTTGCGATAGGTATCCAGTTTGAATGTAACAAACCACTGTGAGCAAATACATAAAAATATTAAATACAATTCTCTGGAAATATACATGATACCTACAGCTGTTTGTTCAGTGAGATTCTTCCTCGGTTTTTTTTCCTCCTTGTGGTCAGAAAGATAGTTGATATTATTTCAATCTTCTTAAAGTTAT